TGAAACTATTGCCTGAGGCAAGCACCACCATATCACTTGTACTGTAATATACCTAAAGGGGGACTGCCAAAAGATGACACTTCTGGCTCAGCTTCTAGGAATTATTTTACATGACAATATAAATGATGTGGGAGCACAATTTGTTTAATTCGCTTATTTTGAGCAGGCTTTTCTGGAATGCTAGACAGGTAAAGTGACTTTTTAAAGTTGAGAATCAGTGACTTAATCTTGTATTTCTGTTTTTCTTGCAGTACTGTGTGCAAAAAACTTGGTGAAAAAGGATTTTTTCCGTAAGTAGCTGTTAAAGTTTTATATATGGGATATATATTATGCAGGTTCTGTGTATTGGTGTTTGCACATGATCATTGTATTAAGATAGATGCATTAAGGGGCTGGGGGCTTTCAACTTTTCACATCATTTTATTTCAGGGCTTCTAATTTTTTCTTAGGTGACAACTGTCACAGATTCATAATAATTAAAACACTGACACACTCTCCCTGGTTTTGATGTGAGTGGGAAACAAATTTGCTCTCTCAAGCAAATTACATGTTTTTCAATTAGTGCCACATACGTATTAAAATGTTTTTCATATAAGAACTTCTTGTCCAGCAGACAGAGGTACATCTTAATTATTATGTCATAACACTTACGTCCTCTGACATTATATTTTAATTAATTTTAATAATGTTTTGAAAGAAGTGCTAAGAGGTGGATGAAGGAGGCAGAAAGGAATGTTATTGGCTGTGTAAGCATGCACACGCACATCACTTGCCTGCTGCCTCCCTCTTGGGAGTAGGGAGAATTCAAAACATCAAACCTGAACTCGGAAAAGGAGTCAAAGAAGGGATGATAGATTCATACTGTAGTTTGTGAAACTTCTAAAAATTCCTTTATATCTGGATTTTTGTATTGATGTGTTTAACAGCTTATTAAAGCCTAAAAAAACCCCCTCAAGATTGGGAATTTGTGACGCACTTCTGTACTGAAGCACAAATCACAAGGTCTTGTTCCTCCCGTTCCCCATGTGCTTTTCCTTCATCCCCACATGCTTTGTCTGACACTTGTCTTGAGCCACTCTGCTGCTTGACTGACTCCCTCTGAGTCACCTGAGGAAGCAGAACTGGTACAAAACTTGCACTACAGAAAGTGTGAATAATGTTTCACTACACCTTCGTTCCTTCAGCTGACTCACTGGGCTCTCGTATGAGGAATTAGGAAGAGAAGAAGAAAGGATAGGACCGCATGACTTAGGGGCATTAGTGGTGGGACCAGCCCTTTTGGTGTCACTTAATGGGTTGGTTAGAATAGCAGCTGCAGTCAAGCTAATTATAGGCTGTTCTGGTCCTGCTTCTTTCCCTCCCTCAGCTGCCTGGTTTGTCACCATCTTCACACTAATTTTTGTTGAACCTGTGTCCTGTGTTTCCAAGGTACTCAGCTGACAGAAAATGAAGTAGAAAGCAAAGTTGACCTCAAAAGCAAGAATAAATTGTTAGAGGTGATTTCCTGTAGTACCAGTAACAACCAAAACCCATGATTTTGATTCATCTTAGAAACAGGAAGAGCATAAATCTGTTTTCTCTGCCTTTTGCTGAATTCTTTGTATACTGAGAATTTACTTAATCCTAAATTAGGAAGATTAAGGTGTTGAGATCTTTTCTTCTCCATGTTTGACTTGCACAACTTATTCTGTATCAGTGAAATAAATTGCTCATTTAGCCATTTCCTGTGCTTAATATGTCACATTATTCCCATTCATTAAACATGGTTCTCATTTAGGAATAAAGGCAATTTCAAATAAAATATTTTTGTTTTAAAATAGTGCAGTGATACAAGACTATAAAGCATCCTGATCCATTTGCTAATCTTTTCCTCTTCTTAGGACTTCCTGATCCATTTGCTAAGGTTGTGGTGGACGGATCTGGCCAATGCCATTCTACAGATACTGTGAAGAATACACTTGATCCAAAGTGGAATCAGCATTATGACCTGTAGGTGGTAACAGTGATAACCAAAGGTTTGAAGTGAAATCCTCTAAAGTACACAGAAACTGTCAAATATTCATAATAATGTCCTATTTACAGCTAGGAAAATATCCCAGAGTTTATTAGTTTGAGTGAAAAATACATGTTTCAAAATACCACTTCCTTATTTCCCTCAAAATCTAAGCACGTGGTTTTCTAGTGATGTCTGCAGCACACTTTACATCTACTGTAGCATTACTGTCTTGTAATATTTTGATGTTAACAATACTGTGAAATTAAGCAAATAACTAACTGTATTTCCCTCAAACTGCTCTTCTCTTTGTGCTGTTTTTGTCTGTTGCAGTGCTGCCATGCCTTCTCTTCTGTGTACCTCCTGTTCACTTTTCTCTCCTTTGTTATTTTCTGTCCCAAAAGATGTTCTCAGTATAAATTATTACGTTGTCATCACTTGAGCTCCTTTCGGTGCTTTAGAGCAATATAATCGGTATGACATGTATATGTCATATATTTCCTCTTTCAAAAGCATAGAATATCATGTATAACATAAGTTATTAAACTTTTTGGATTTTATATAGGTTTCTTTGTGCTTATGTATGCTTTACTTTCCCTGTCTTTCATCCTTTTCTTCTTTATTTTTTTTCCTTGGGTTGGAAGATGAGGAGAAGAAGTGAACAGTCCACAAAATATTATAAAAAGCAGAGATAGAAATGGGGTTTCTGGCAGAGTATTTTATTCAGACAGATGTGGTGCATCTCTTGCTGGGTTGTCCTAAGGAATTTAGACCCATGTGGAATATTTTTATAGGGTGGTGGGTTTTTTTCTTTATTTTTGGGGAAGAAGATCCTTAAAAAACCTTGGGTTTGTTTAGTTAGGATACTATTTTCAATGTAAATTACGTATCCTGTA